GACCAAGTAATATTGGCACGTAGCAAAGATGTTGATGTTTCCGCCGACGGGAAAAAGGAGGCGGCAGCTGAAAAACGCAAAAAGAGGAAGCAGAAGTATGATGATGAGTCATCATATGAAATAATGAAACTTGATGCCAGGCTGTGCGAAATCCAAAAAAAATTGGAACAAAGTGAGCAGCATAACATACTTTTAATGGAAGAAATCACTCGCCTTAAAAAACTACAAGACGAGTCTGCTCGTCTGCTGACTGAAGCAGCGAAAAAAGAAACAAGCTACAAACGAATAATAACTGAACTACAAAAACAGGAGAATACAACAAATAATGAAGCTGTTTCATCGTACGACGACTATACAGAAATGGATACTGTGGAAAGTATACCAATGCCACAGAAAAAACTGGACCCAAGCCAGGTGCCAGCTCAGGCAGGCAAGAAGCCAAAGCTGCCTAGGACATCAAACAACAATGACGAATGGACTGCTGATATTGAAGAAAACATGAATGCAGATGCAGAAAACAACATTAATGGAAAAACAACGGCAAGTACTAAAACAGGGGCAAAAACTTCACGCTCTCTGGCAGCAGCAAACCAAAGAGGCAATCCCAACAACAAAACCAATGGAGGAGTGGGTAAGAATTTACCACCTATAACAATTTATGACTGCCAGTTTAAGGAAATTGCGGGAATTTTGAACCTTTATATAGGAAAAACTAATTTTATTATAAAAATTATAAGAAAAGAAGTATTTTCTGTAAAAATTACAGGGTTAGATAACTTTGAAAAAATCAAAAATCTTCTTAAGGAAAGAAAATATAAATTTCATACACATACACCGAAACAATTACTGCCCTATTCGGTAGTAATTGAAAGGTTATCTCATATGTATGCAATAGAAGAGGTAAAAGATTTCCTAGAAAATCAACATTTCCATGTAATTGTTCAAAAAATAACAAAAATAGGCTCTGATAAGTGGATAGTCAGGCTAGATCGTAGTACCGACATTCAAAAACTTTATAAAATTAATAGAATATTAGACTGCAGCGTAGTATTCAAAAAAGCGAAAGGTAGGGAATACATCCAGTGTACAAACTGTCAAAAACCGGGACATGTGGCAAGCAATTGTGGCATGACTTACAATTGTGTCAAATGCAGTGAGCAACATGGACCGGGTAACTGCTTAATTTTAAGCAAAAACTGCGAAGAAAATGATACTGGGATTGGAGCAAAACGACCTCCCATAAAATGTGTCAATTGCAAAATGGAGGGACATGTTGCTAGCGCACGGGATTGCCCAACTAGACTAGCCATTTTAAAGAAAAGGCAAGAGAGAAAGGAAGAAAGAGAAGCAGCCAACAAAATAAGAGCTGAGAAAATTTTAGGAGCAAGATACGGATCATATGCAGAAGTAGCTAATAATAAAACCCAAATTAGGAACACTACAACAACACAAAAGGCAACTGAAGGACCTGCAATTTTATCCATGTCTTTGGCTAAAGAATGCAAAAATTCTTTTGGCAAAAATATGACAGATCTACTAAATGATTTGGAAAAATATCAACAACAATATCACGAAATTCAGGAAGCAGAAGGAAAATCCACTGCTATACTGGGTCTCCTGATGTTCATTAAGGGATATAAATGTTGAGGTGCATATTTCTTAACGTAAATTCAGTGGTGTCTATTGAAAGAAGACACTACTTAAATAATTTTATTAAAAAACATAAGCCAGATATTTTATTACTGGCAGAACATAAAATGTCACATAGACATAAACTGCAAATTGAGGGATATGCACTTCACAGACAATGTAGGGTAGACAAAAAGGGTGGTGGAACAGCCATTATGATAAAAAGTTCATATAAGTATGAAGAATTTACAGTAAATACAGGTAACATAGAATCGTGTGCAATCAAATTATACAAGACAGAAGGCCTGCCTATAATATTTGTATCTATGTATCTTGCTCCTAAAACTTCTTTTAGACCCTCCAGTCTCGATGAAATTTCGAACTTGGGTGCAAACAATGATATTGTCATTGGATGTGACCTAAATGCGAAACACAGAGACTGGGGAGGAAGAATAAATAATGTAAATGGTTGTGAACTTAGAGAATATCTATTATGTTGCCCCAATTTAACCATTTGCCCTACATCAGGTCCCACAAGGCCCAATAGAGTTGAAGACTCTTACATAGATTACTTCATGATAACACCAGGTATTGTTAGAACAGAGCATGGTCTATTAGCGACGAAGGACTTTGAATCGGATCATAAGGCCGTCGAAATAACAATAAATATTAATAATATCCAACCAAAAGAGATCATGACCTACTATGATTATGATAAAATTAATATAGAAAGGTATAAAAGAAGATTAGAAACAAGACTATTAGAACATGAGTTGCCAATATATAGAAATGCAACAATATCAGAAATAGACATTTCTATAGAAAGACTAAATAACGTTTTTAAAGAAACAATAGAAGAATGTGTTCCAAAAAAAGTATGTAAAAATTATACCTTAGGAAAATTGCCAAATAATATCATAAATCTAATAAAAGAAAGAAAAAGGTTAAAGAAAATTTTACAAAGGACACCAGACCCAGACAGATATAACATAATTAGGGCTGATATTAGAAATCTCGGTATAATTTTAAAAGAACTGATAACAAACTTCGAAAATAACAGGTACATATCACATCTTCAAAAAATAAAAGTAAACCCTACCACTTTTTCAAAAGTGAAGACTGCTGCAGGACTATCACAAAAGGAACCAATAAATACTCTATTCAACGATAGAGATGATCCCATAAACAATAATGAGGAAAAAGCCAATTTAATGGCTAACCATCTCCAAAATATACAGCAAATAAGGGAGGGTGAAACAAACCTCACCTTCCACAATCTTGTAGTTGAAGCTGTGGAGGGAATTGAGGAACATAATCCCTGCTAATTTTTGGAGAAGAAATTTCAGCTGATGGCTCAATTATAGGGGATGAAAATAAATGGATTGAGGGTGGATTTGTTAATCCTGCAGCAGTCTCAGATGCCATAAAAAAAAGATCATCTAAAAAATCTAGTGGAATAGATGGGATTCCGGATATAGCCATAAAGAAAGCCGGAAACGCAATATGCACTTTCCTGGCAATTTTATTTAACCAAGCTTTTAACCTTGGTTACTTTCCAAGAGAATGGAAAAAGGCTTTGGTAATCCCAATTAAAAAACCAAATACAAATGGCAAATATTGCGAGGACTACAGACCCATTTCTCTCCTGTCCCCATTTAGTAAACTTTTTGAATATTTTATTCTTGAAAGAATTAAAAAGACCATTGAAGAGCGCAAAATATTACGAGATTGTCAATTTGGCTTTAGGCCACAACATTGTACATCTCATGCTCTTGTAGCATTCACTAATTATGTTACAGATGGGTACAGGAGAAAAATGGGTACAATGGCAGTAGCACTAGACTTTAAAAAAGCCTTTGATAAAGTGTGGCAAAAGGGAATACTCTATAAATTGCAATCCTTTGGTTTTGAAAGGCAAACCTGTAGGATGGTAGCAGACTTCCTAAAGGATAGGCATTTCAGGATTAAAGTTGGTGAGGATATGTCTGAACAACGCCCGGTTTTCTCAGGTGTCCCACAGGGATCACTTTTGGGACCGGTGTTGTATAATATATTCATCAGCGATATTCCTGGGCCTCCAGAAGGAGGTCTGTTATTAACATATGCAGATGACGTCATTATAGCAATGAGCGGACGATATGCACATACGGTGGAAAGGAAAATAAATAAATATCTTGAAAAACTTTGTGACTACTTTAAAAAATGGGAACTAAAATTGAATGTCCCTAAATGCCTTGCTGCGATATTAAGTGGTAAAACCAGACAAAGCTTCCCCAGCTTCAGAAGACACATACCCAATGTTAAAATTGATGGTCAAATTATAGGGTATTCTGATAAAATTAAGTATTTAGGGGTTGTTTTTAACAAAAATTTTGACTTTTGCAGGCATGTAGACCATGTTCTTGTTAAAGCAAAAAAAATTTATTTCAAGTATCAAAAGATATTTAGGATGAGAGGAGGTCTTACTACAGAAGTTAAATTATTACTGTACAGACAGATAATAAGGCCCACAATTGCGTACGCCTTTCCGTCTTGGGCTGACGTCTCTGCAGCACAGATGGAAAGGATACGTAGATTTGAAAGAAGGACTATAAGTGCAGCTGTTGGCCTAAGAGCCGACATAAATAGCCAGGGTGAAGTTAGAAAGCCATCGAATAGGAACATTTACAATGCCATAAATTTTGGCAGAATAGATGTTTTTATGATGGAGATGGCCCTTAAATTTCTTGAGAAATGTAAAGAAAGTGAAAACAGTATAGTGCAAAACTTCATTAGCAACGAAGAAGAATTTGAGGTACTACGTACTAGAAAACATCTACCACCAGTCGCACTATTTAAATTAAAAGAGGCAGGTATCCTCTACCAAAATGAAAAATTGATATATTATCATAGAAGATTTTCAAGATTTGACGCTAGTACTGACCCTGTATATAATATGGAGCAGTAAACCAACATTTGTATATATTGTATATAGTTAGTTGTAAGTTTTTAGATTAAGAAATTAGTATAAGTTTAGTTATAAGATTTTTATATAATATTTAAAATTTTTTAAAAAATGGCCTTTTTTGAACTTTTTGGACATAAAACAATATAAATGTGATTAAAATAAAATTAAAACTGATTCTCTGTTAACACTTAAGTGTAACACAAAATAAATATAAATAACGTAGATTCAAGTGCCTATGAGCACAAAGAATATGTTTAATTAATACATAAATATTACTTTAGTCATTTAAGTACACATTGTAACGAAATGAATTAATAAATAAATGGCAAATTGAAAAAGCAAAAAAAAAGCAAAAGGCGAAAATTTTTATCATTTGTGTTTTTCAGTGCTTAAGTGAAGTGTTTAAAACTAAAATAAAGTGAAAATGTCTGGTCGTGGTAAAGGTGGCAAAGTTAAGGGAAAGGCAAAGTCCAATCGTGCTGGTCTTCAATTCCCCGTCGGTCGTATCCATCGTCTGTTGCGCAAAGGCAACTATGCTGAGCGTGTTGTGCCGGTGCTCCCGTCTATTTAGCCGCTGTCATGGAATATTTGGCTGCTGAAGTCTTGGAATTGGCTGGCAATGCTGCCCGTGACAACAAGAAGACTCGTATCATTCCCCGTTACTTGCAATTGGCCATCCGTAACGACGAAGAATTGAACAAATTGCTGTCTGGCGTTACCATTGCCCAAGGTGGTGTATTGCCAAACATCCAAGCTGTTCTCTTGCCCAAGAAGACCGAAAAGAAAGCCTAAATTATTTCGAAAGGTATTATGGAATGAAGAAGAAGAATATAGACCATCGTATAATTCCATAGAAAAATCAACCAATCCGTCCTTTTCAGGACGACAAAAAATATTTGAAAAGAGAAAGAAAATTGCGTCAAGCTACATTTGCATGAAAAAAAATAAAAATTCTCAATAATTTTCTATGAGACGTTGGCAGAATAACTGTTTTTCGTTGTCAGTTGCATATTTGTGTTGTCGTCGTTGTTGTTGTCTCTTATGATTTCAGGAATAGAGCGCGAGAGAGGAGAGATCGTGGCGTCACCAAATGAGTATGTATAGCATGAAGAAGAAGCATGTGGCAGTTGGTGGTGGCTTTGTAGTAATTTTATGTGAAAAAATCGTACCCCGGCGCATTCTTTGGGGAAGGCATAAAGTAGATGATTTGCAATGGAATTTTGGCGGCAAAGTAGTGTTTTGGTGGAAATAAATCGACGCATACATGAAAATAAAAGCGCATTGTGGTGCTATGGAAAATTTTTAACACAAAAATAGAAGAAAAGTAAAATAATGAAATGAAAATTAACGAAAATAATTACAAAGAAAAATAAAATAACGTAAATTAATAATTAAATTAAAATAAAATAAGAAAATTTTTAAAAATTAAGGCAAATATTAATGAAAATTTAAGCAAATTTAAATGAAAATATTTGGAAATAAATTAAAGAAATTTGGAATAATAAATACATTTTATGAAAATAAAAGATACTTTAAATGAAATCAAAAAATTTTAAATTAATGATAAGGAAATAAATTAAATAATTTTAAATTAATAATAAGGAAATAAATAAAATAATTTTTAATAAAACGAAAAATGTGATTTTTAAAAAATAATCTAATGAAAAATTAAATTAATTGAAATTTAAATAAGTAAATTGAACATAAATAAAATAAAATTAATTCAATGAAAAATTTTTAAATAAAATTCAGTTATTTTAATTTTTAAAAAAATCAATGATTTAATTTTCGATACAATTTTAAAGGAAATTATTAGTGAATAATTTAAAAATTTTTAATGAAATTTTTGAAGATAATATGAATCAACGATCTATTTAATAAAAATATTCAACCATTTTTAAATAAAATTTGAGAAAAGATTCAACAATGTTTGAAAAAGTCAAAATGAAATTCCTTTGCTACCACAGCATGGTCGTTCTTTAGTAATATCGACTAAATAATACCAACACATACATAAAGCGACGCTATGTTATACTCATATAATACGAAAAGGAAGAAGAAGAACAACTAAATGTGTTTAGCGATGTGAGTTGCCGACGGCATGTTTATGATCGGGAATAAAATACGAGACCTCGGTAAAACAATGTTTTCGTTGAAAATATTCTGGAGAAAATTAGTGTTAGTAGTTAGTATTTATATTTTTTATTTATTTGATTTTTAGACATTTTTCACGAATTGTGAGAAAAAAGTACGAGAAAGCTGAAAAAGAAAAATATTAGAAATTTTGACATAAAATTTCTTTATTTCCTAAGGTAAGTGTTTATTTTTTATTTATTTTAATTAAAAAAAAATAGTTTTCAACAAGAATGTATCTCTTTTTTGATATATTTTGTGGTCCTGAAAAGGACCGATTGTTTTGTTGTAAAAAAAGATTTCTCCAAATTGCGTCAAGAATTTGTTTAACCGCCGAAACCGTACAAGGTACGGCCTTGTCTCTTCAAAGCATATACGACATCCATAGCGGTGACGGTTTTACGCTTAGCATGTTCGGTGTAGGTGACAGCATCACGAATAACGTTTTCCAAAAACACCTTCAGAACACCACGAGTTTCTTCGTAAATCAGGCCAGAGATACGTTTTACACCGCCACGACGAGCCAAACGTCTAATAGCTGGCTTGGTAATACCTTGGATGTTATCACGGAGCACTTTCCTGTGACGTTTAGCGCCACCTTTTCCCAAGCCTTTACCACCTTTACCACGACCCGTCATTTTTTCACTTAAGTTTATTTCACTTATCACTTCACTAACGTTCAAAATACGAATGTTTTTTCAACCCAGGTCCGCTTGTATTTATACAAAATTTGAGGCTCTCTCCAACCATTTAACGCACAAGTAAAGTATGTACAGTTATATGTGTGTGTGTACATTTGCCGTTAGTATTGTATGTTCTCTTTTGTGTGTGCGTGTACATTTGGTATACCGATAGGTAAGAATTCACTAACATATCAACCCCGAAAGTTGATGCTAAGAGCACAATTTTCTATAAATACTCGTTTTCTTGGCGATGGCAACGTTATTACAGTGTCTACAGTGTTTGTGTGCATATCTCTAGTGAAGTGAAAAAATTCAAGTGAAAAATGGCTCGTACTAAGCAAACTGCCCGTAAATCGACCGGTGGAAAGGCTCCCCGTAAACAACTAGCTACCAAAGCTGCCCGTAAGAGTGCCCCAGCCACCGGCGGTGTTAAGAAGCCTCATCGTTTCCGTCCTGGTACAGTTGCTTTGCGTGAAATCCGTCGTTACCAGAAGAGTACTGAATTGTTGATCCGCAAATTGCCCTTCCAACGTTTGGTTCGTGAAATCGCTCAAGATTTCAAAACTGACTTGCGTTTCCAGAGCTCTGCTCTGCTCAAGAAGCCAGTGAAGCCTACTTGGTTGGTCTTTTCGAAGATACTAACTTGTGCGCCATCCATGCTAAGCGTGTCACCATCATGAATAAGGATATCCAATTGGCCAGACGTATTCGTGGAGAACGTGCTTAAATTCTTGACGTTTTAAAAGCAACAATTTTACAACAAAACAATCGGTCCTTTTCAGGACCACAAATATTTTACAAAAAAGAGATATTTTTTCACTCAATCTACAAATTTTAGTATTTTTTTTAAATAAATAAAAATGTTGAGGGCTTTGATTATTTTGGAAAATTTTTAAAATAAAGAAGTATTTTTTTCATGTTGATTTTTTTCCTTGATTATTTTTCGTCACTTTATTTTTTTTATTTTATTTTGATCGAATATTTTATTTTTTTAATTTTATTTGAATTTTTTCAATTATCCATTTTGATAGTTTCCTTTAATTTGCAAAATTATTATCATTTTTGTACTCCCTCTTCGAAAAAAATGCTATGACTCATAATAACAACCACCACATACATTTTGCTAACGGGATTTTTTTTTGTCCATTTTGTTTTTTTCCTTTTCCCGTTAAACAAAAAATTGCTCTCTTTATGATTTTTGTCGCGAAATTTGTCTATTTCTCTCATTTTATTCCCCTTCGATCATTTTTTTTGTTGTGGACTATTCAATTTAACGGGAAAAAATTCTCTGCCTTTAATTTCTACGAATTGTCAGCTTCGGCCTCCAAGGAACCCAAAGCCAAGACTGCTGAAAAGAAGTAGAAGGCCCCAGCCGCTGGTGACAAAAAGAAGAAGGCTGCCGCCCCTAAAAAGGCCGCTGGTGAGAAGAAGGCAGCTGCCAAAAAACCCTCTGCCGCCAAGAAGACCGCTGAAAAGAAGAAGGCCGACAAAACAAAGGCAAAGGCTGCCAAGAAAACCGGTACAGTTAAAGCTAAACCAGCAAAGACCGCCGCCAAAGCATCTGCCACTAAACCAAAGGCACCCAAGGCAAAAACTGCAGCTGCTAAGCCCAAAAAGGCCGCAGCAGCAAAGAAGCCAGCTGCTAAGAAAACCGCCGCCAAGAAGTAATTTTTCCCAGAAAGATTACTTTTTCCACAATATTTTCGATATTCGAAAACATACTATCTAACAGCCCTTTTCAGGGCTACAAATTAAATTAAAAAAGAGAAAAATATTTATTTTCAACAGTTATCGTATATATTTGTTACCTAAATGAATAAGTAAATTTGTACACGTGTTTGATTTTGGGAAAAAATTACTTTCGCTAATTACTGTTCTTATTAGGTAATTTATTGAGCCAATATAATCGTGGACGCCACTGGATTGTTTTTTTAACCCAGGTCATAAAAGATAATAAAATATTTAAAATTTTTCCTAATTACCCACAGGTCATAATTCTCGAAAATCCCCATCATTTGGTCATTTTTATAATTTCTACTTAATTTTGAAAAATTTGTCATTTTCATATTCTCTGTCAAATTTCAAGAATTTCATCCAAAAATGACATTTTGGCAAAATATTAACATTTTTCATCAATATATTTTTTTCCTTTGATAATTTCTGCCTCAGCCTTATATTTCGTTGCTTTGCCGTTGTGCTGTAACAAAATGCTCACACATACATGATGCCCATTCGATGTTGATCAACGACGGCAAGGCAAATCACCACTAACACACGCACACATACACGACGACGATGGCTGTTATAGCATATCGCACAAGCAATGGCTAAACATAGGCACATATGCGAGTTAGCTAAATGCATGGAAAAATCATTGTATAGAGAAAAATATAATTTCTATGGATTTTTATTCGTTCATTATTATTAAATAATGATAAATTGTAGCTTCAACAAAATATGATCTCTTTTGAAATGTTTTTTGTGGCCCTGAAAAGGGCCTTTTAAGGTAGTATTTCGACGCAAAATGAAAAATATCAAGACATTTACTTGGAGCTGGTGTATTTAGTAACAGCCTTGGTACCTTCACTGACGGCGTGCTTAGCCAATTCACCGGGCAACAATAGACGGACGGCGGTCTGGATTTCCCGACTGGTGATGGTCGAGCGCTTGTTGTAGTGGGCCAAACGAGAGGCTTCGGCGGCAATACGTTCGAAGATATCGTTGACGAAACTGTTCATGATGCTCATGGCCTTGGAGGAGATACCGGTGTCGGGATGGACTTGCTTCAACACTTTGTAAATGTAGATAGCGTAACTCTCCTTACGCTTGGTACGTCTCTTCGACTTATCGCCCTTGGTAATGTTCTTCTGGGCTTTGCCGGCCTTCTTTGCTGCTTTACCACTGGTTTTAGGAGGCATTTTCACTTATTATTTTTTTTGAATCACACAAACACTTTTAACACTGTTCACAAATGAT